CCATATGTATTTTTGGCCTGTCCCTCCTGTAAGCACATCTGTCCTACCAATGCAGCCGACTGGTCCCCCAAACAACCAGATATGGGTACCCCTTCCAGGACCCCGCCTCTTATGAGGCCGTAGATCTCCGAAGAACTCCAGACATTGGGGAGAATGGTCATGGGAACTTCAAAAAAGTCGCAGAGCTCCTGATCCCATTCCAGGGAGTGGATGTTGAAGAGCATGGTCCTGCTGGCGTTGGTGACATCAGTGCAGTGCACGCCCCCGTTGACGCCCCCTGTCATGCTCCAGATCAGCCAGGAGTCCACAGTGCCGAAGAGGGCCCGACCCTCCTCAACCGCCTTCTGCACGTGTACCACATTGTCCAGCATCCAGCGCAGCTTCACTGCGCTGAAGTAGGTGCTGAGCGGGAGGCCTGTCTTGGACTTGACGAAGTTGTTGTTCCCTGGGATCTTCTTGCTCAGGGCCTCCACGGTGGCCTGGGTCCTCAGGTCCAGCCACACCACGGCATTGTACAGGGGCTCCCCTGTCAGCCTGTCCCAGATGACGGTGGTCTCTCGCTGGTTGCTGACGCCCACGGCCTTGATGCTGGACGTGTCGACGTTCAGGTCGCGGAGCTTCTCGCACGTCCTGGCCATGCATTCGTAGACAGACTGCAGGATCTCCTTCGGGTCTTGCTCCACCCACCCTTCCCGGGGGAACTCTTGCGTCAGCTCCACCTGGTGATGGCTCAGGAGCTCCGAGGTTTTTGAATTGAAAACCAGAAAGCGAGTGGAGCTGGTGCCCTGGACCACCGACCCCACCAACGGCCCCACCACTGGTTTCTTTGGGGCTGCCATGATGCCAGCAGGCCGGCCGGGTGCGGTTTCCCGGGAGACGGAGACGTTGGGGGAGGGGCGAAGGCATCGGAGAAGGGCCGTGCAGTGCGACGGGGGCGCAGTGCGCAGGCGCCTGGCTTCCCCTGAGGACTGCGAAGCCCAAAGCACTCTTTAACCTTTGCCCTTTAACTGGCTCCGCCTTCTAACCCCGCCCCTCCGGCCCAGGCCCCGCCCCCAGCCTATCAAAGCTCTTTTAAGGAGATTAAAGTTAAAAGCAGCAACTGCGCGTATTTACGCGTGTGGTTACTCTTTCAGGCGGATCTGTATTTCTTTCATTTTTCTCTTTCCTGAAAGAGGTCTTTGGACGTCTCTTACAGGTTGCTTCTGCCAACCTGTGCACATTGGACAATTATTTCACGCGAACACTTGGAGAT